ATTTATTAATAATTAATTTATTTATTATATTATAATAATTTATTTATTAATAATAATTTCGTTATATTTTTTAATATATTTTTTTTTAATTAATATAATTTATAAACTTATTTAATATTATTTTATTTATCGGTTTATTAAGTTATAATTAAATAACATAATTAAATATTTTAAAAATATAAAATAATTAATTTTTTAATAATAAATTATATAATTTAATATTATATATAATTAATTATATAAATAAACGCATTTTTTTACCCGTTTTTATATTTTATATTATGAAAAATTTTTTCTTTAAATTATTAAATATTAAATTTTATTTTTTTCGAAATTTATTAATAAATTATTTATATATATATTTTATTATTTTAAAATTAAACGCGTTTATTTCGCTTTTTAAATTTTTTATATAAAGTTAAAAATGCGTTTTATTTTATAAATATTATAATTAAATAACTTTTATTTTTTTTTTATTTTATATTATAATAACTTTTATTAATTTATTTATAAAAATATAAATATTAATATATATTATATATTTATTTAAAAAAATTATATTATAATTTAAGTGATTTTTTTACGTTAAATTTAAATTAAAATATTTAATGTTAAAAAGTAAAAATATATTATTATAATTATTTATTATAATTATATTATTTAATGTTTTATTAAGTTTATTATTAATTAACCGAAATGTTTTAATTATAATTTATATTATAAATGTAATTATAATTTATAATTAATTTTAATTTTAAGGTTAAATTTAAAGTTAATTTTAAAATTAATTTTAAAATTAATTTTAAAGTTAAGTTTATAATTAATTTTAAAATTAAATTTATAATTATATTTATAATTATATTTATAATTATATTTATAATTATATTTATAATTATATTTATAATTATATTATTATATTATTATTTAAATTAAATATTAATATTAATATATTTTTAATTTAAATACGGTTAATTTTAATAAATTTTTCGGAAATTTATTTTTTATTATTTATTTAGTTTAATAATTTTTAAAATAATTTATTTAATTTTTTATTTAAAAACTTTAATTTTTAATTATTATACGTAAATAAAAAATCCTTATCGTCATTTTTAATAAAATAATTAATATTTTTTTTATATAAAATAATTTTATAATTAAATATACGTTAAAACGAATTATTAATAATTAAATTATTTAATTTAAAAAAAAGAAATAAATTTTTAATATTTTTTTATAAAAATAAATTAAAATATAAGTTTTATACGGGATTATATAATAAATTATTAATAAATTTTATTAAAAATAAAATTAAAATTTTTTTAATAAATAATAAATAATTAAATTTTATATAATTAATAAATTATAATAAAATTTTTAAATTTATTATTAAAAATAATTTAAAATTTAATAATAAAAAAAATATTTTTTTTAATAATTTAATTAAAATAAATAATTATATAAAAAGTAATAAAAACGTTTATAAATTATATATATTAATATATTATTTTAATTAATTAATATATAATATATTTACCGTAAAAATAAATAATTTAAATATTAAAATAATAAAAAAATTATTAATTTATAAGTTTAAATTTATAATTTATTTAATAAATATTTATATTTTTTAATAGTTTTTTTTTTAATTAATTAAAAATTTAATAAAAAGTTTTTTTTTTATTTAATTTAATAAATATTTAATTAAATTATTAATATTAATTTATTTTAATTTAAAATAATTAAAAAATAATAATAATTTTATTATTTTAAAATTTTATTATTATATAAATTAAATGTTTAAATAATTTTAATAATTAAATTATAAAAATTAAGTTATTTATTTAATAAAGTTTATAAATATAAATAAAAAAAATTATAAAAATATAAAATAAAAAAATATATAACCGGTAAAAAAAAAATAATATAAAAAAATATAGCGTTATATAAATTAATAAAATTTAAAATAAATGTAATAAAGTTTATAATAATCGGTTAAAAGGTTATTTAAAAAAAAATTAAAATAAAAATGGTTTAAAGGTTTAATAAAAATATAAATAATTTTTAAATTAAAATTTTACGGATAAAAATGGTTCGGTAAGGTAAAAAAAAAAAAAAAAAAAAATTTCTTATCGATAAAAAAATATTATTATTATTATATGGTATGGTATATATGGATTAATAATGTTTTTTTTAAGTTTTAAAATTATTTAAGATTTAGTGAAGCGTTATTTAATGTTAATGATATATTAAGGTACATGTACTAAGGTACGACGTCATGTGACATTAAGGAAGTCATAGGTAAAGTTCAACAGTATTAAACTTAATTTGTCATTGCTTTGCATATGCCCGAGACCCGTCCTTTCCCCGTCTTCGAATCCGGGCTCCGCTTAGAGGCCCACTTCTCGTGTTGTGACCAATGATGGATCTACCTAGGTACTTAAGCCACAGCCGTTGGTCACAGCTGCCCGCGTGCCCGCTTAGCTCTACTACGTACTAAAATACTCGTGACAAATTCGTGGAATTGGCCGGAGAACCTCAAAGTTTCTACAGTTCTTCGTCTTCAGCTCTCAGCCCTTCCTTTCAACTATTAAGGCCACCTTAGGCATAGCAGCCCACCCGGCCATGATCGTACATGTCCGTCCACTGACGTGACCAAAGCAAAGACCTATTAATAACTAATCTGTCAAAAACACAATTCTTCAACTAATGACTAGGTAATTTACAGCTGCGAGAATCTCATGGCTCGATAATCGCCTGCACGTCCGCTTACTGCTTGCTTCGCGAATCGTGATTCGAGCTTCGCATTGCCTCCTCTCGGGACAGGCATAGCGGAGATGGAGTTCGGCATGTGCTGGAGACCTCAAAAATCGAAATCAACCCATCAAATTCGCACTCTTCATATCCTATCCTTACGTTAGCCAACACTTGGTTAAGAGCATCCTGTGCCATCCCGCCTCTTACATGAAAACGACCGTCGCATCGGAATGATTGATATGATTTACGATATGGACACTGGTGAATACGAGACTAATGCATTGGTAATTGTTAGTTACGATTCTTCTAATTGTTTACATGCGCATATTTACTGACCACGATCGATTCGCGACGTAGAATAATATATCATCTGTCAACTTTGCTTTTTACGACCCCGTCTCTCCGACCCTCGCGTCTTTCGGTTCTCATGCGCTCGAACTCGAAAATGGGCTTCGTAGAGATGGATTCTTGGCTTATTTCGATACCGTTCGACGGGGGGTGTGGTGTTTTCGCCTGTCACAAAAGGACAGACAATCAGCCGCGCCAGCTTTTCCAAAATCCGTTGGAAGTGCTGGATTTACCTTTTCTTTAACTGAAGAGGGTGCTCTGGAATCTGCTGCATTAGTCAAGAATCGCCAATATGGCCCGAATGCAGGAAACACCCCAGCAAGCTCGTCGTCGTCTAGTGGTTCAGCTGGTCTCGATTCAGCTTATCGAACTACACAATCTGCTACTCTCCCCTCGGCCCAGCCATTCCCTACCCTGGGCGAACAAGAATCTAAGACAGTCTCGTCTGTTGATTCGAAAATCACTTCCTCGACCCCAACAAAGGATATCTATGAACACTTCATCCTTGCTGCCCTGTCGGCAATCTCTTCTAGTTTTTGCGCTACTACCGGCGCCATCCCGTTGAGCTCCCGGACCCTTCTCCTCCCTAGATCTTCCCATAGTGATTGTATCGATACCCCAGCTATTCTAGCGTCCCTGCGCATATATCTCACAACTACAGGTAGCCTTGTTATATCTTTTGCCCTCTCCCCGGCTGAAGGTATAGTCAACTTGTCTGAAAATTTGGGACACACTTTGCCGTCGCTTGGCGTAACTGTTTTAGCAGCACCGTTGGGCATGTTTGCCACTTGCCATCCTATTGCGAATTCCGATTCTACCGCTACCGATAGCGGGTTTGCTCAGTCGCCCGACACGCAGGTTATGAGACTGCGATCCGAGAGAGACGACGGCCCCTGGCGGAATGTCTGCGCCAAATTCCTTCAAGCGCGCAATATACCCTCTTCATTCTGCGAATCTCAAAACTGGATCGGCCTACAACGAATGCGACGAAAGCCAACGGAACAGAACATAGACGGAAAGCGGACTCCTCTAATAGGGGCTCCCAGCATATCGTGGCCTGTCAATCTCTGCTTCTGTAAGATATTTTCACGACTCTCAATTGGAGGCGAAACAGAAGATCAGTCTGCGTCCCAGCCTGACCGGAGTTTTGATCCTCTCAAGGCCGCCAGGCAATGGGTTCTAGGTGCTGGAGAGCGAGACGAGGCCTTAGCAAAAAATAAAAAGGATAGGGATGCTGCAACGGCCCGAGAGGTTTCGCTAGCTGATGGCCAGGCCCAGCATGCGAGTGGATTGTCGCCTTTAACCTTACAGCGACCCAACAACGCCAATGCGTTGCCAGGAGGTTTATATCCGACCCCACCAGGTGCTCAGAATATTATAGGCGCGACTCCATCCATGGATGGCACTGGTTCTAGTCCCGGGAATAATGCGACTGCCACAACAATGGTAGATGTTGACGCGACTCGCAATATGTCGTATGGCGATAACTGGGAGAACACGGAAGTCAAACGTGAGCGCCTGGGTGCCTCGTTTGAGTCTGAGAATCTCTTCGGCGAACTGGGACCTGACATGTTTGGAGATGCGGATATTACTGAAGCCGATTTTAATTTCTTCGACGAGCAACCGGGCGACATGAGTCTAGGTTCACTTGACCTTCCTGTACTCTCAACTAGTGACCCAAATCTTGATCTCGCGGTCAGCCTGCCATCAACGCAGGAGTCACAGTTCAAATCAGGCCCTCCAGATATTCATTTACCCGACGCAACTCCTTCGCCAACATTTACAAAACCCGAGCTTAGACATGCTCGAAGCTCGCTGGAGGATGCCCGACGCTTAGCTGGACTAGAATCCAACAAATTCCCGCCTACGAGCATGAAACGACCTGCAAGCCCATTTAACCCCGATACTGTATATAAGAGAATCAGAGCGTCTTTGGATAACCATAAGGCCGTTCAGAAGAACTCCCGTATAAGCGCATCTCCACACGGCAGCATCTTTGACAAGGTGAATTTTGGGCCTTGCTTGTCAATAGTGAACAGCAAATATGAAGGCAGCGGGCGCTTCGATTACTCTCTTGAACGATCTGGAGATTCTAAATCGACCAACCTAAACGAGCCGCCAACGACGGACTATTTACGACGGCATGTAAAAGGCCGTAAGGGCTTGAAAGAGATGCCTGCAAAGGTTGGGCAGGTTTTGATCCGTGCTTCTGGAGTCCAGGCTCCTGCGTCGAACGGAGCGAGTCCTTCAAATATCCCCTCGAATACCGAAGAGGCTCATTCAGATGCTGACGAGGTCAGCCTCGTATCGGATCAAGATGACTCAAGCTACGACGGTGATGAACCTTCATCTCCTATAAAATCCGTAAGCATGAGACGACGGTTGGTCGATGACGATGGGGAGTCGCTTGCCACATCATTCAGAGATCTTGAGTCTGTGGATGTGAGCTCGCCGCATGAATTTCCCCAAACTTGCAAATCTGAGGCAGATCTTCCGCTTACGAAATATTTTGCCGACCCCGAACCACCCCTACTTCAATATTCATTACCAGATGACCAACTCATAATTGCTGCGCAAATTCTCACGGACCAGTTTGCTACTTGTACTCTCCTAGCCAATGTATCGTCGTCACAATTAGGATCAAGGGTTGACCGACGTCGTCAACTCACCAGTTTAACACGCAGATCGATACAAGACATTAAGTCGAGCCTTCCCCCTTGTCTAACAATTGCCACCGAATACCAATTTCGCCCGTTCATCGAACTCCAAGACGTGCCGCTCCTTGGCCAGCCTACGAGGATGCAACCTAGGCCACCAAACGCCGATCAAATGAGGCCGAGCAACTTATTCCAGATCCCGTCTCCACATTTTGAGCTGCGGCGGTATGAATCCAAGTTGTCTGTCTTGCCATCTGCAGTTGCTTTCTGGGAGAGTCTTGGGCTTAGCCCGTCTCCCGGGAATAAAGATATCAACGCCATCTGCATTTTCCCTGATTATGAAGGTCTCTCAGATGACATGCTAGTATTCGCCGATAGAATGCGCAGTATATACGAATCATTGAAGCTAGGCTCGTTCAATCGTCTACCAGCGACCTCTAGTGTAGAGAACGGCCTATTCCCTTTCGCTATTGAGAAAGACCCCATACCATTCAACAAATCCTCACCCTTTCTAAGACCCTCATTAGCGAATTGTGCCTCCAAAGTCTGTCAAACGTTAGTGTCAATGAATGTGGAAGAGATCAATTTTGTTGTCTTCTTCGTTTATTCGCCCGACGTTACGGGTTCGATAGTCGAAAGCTGCGCTGTCTTCAACCAGATCTTTGAGGGCTATAGGAGACTACTATCTACCAAAAAGTTACCGATTGTCAATGACTTAGCTCTGCAACTAGTGCCTCAGGATTTTGTGGCGTCCTCAAATTCGGTGGCCATGCCATCTCCTTTCGAATTTTCCAAGCTAGCCATGGAGACGTACGATAGGTGCATTCAATTTGGCGGCACAACTCCATCCCCAGCCCTAGTGCTTGAGCAACCGCCGCCACGAATGATTGACTTCAAGTTAACAACAAACCCGTCCGCATCTCTCTTACACGAAAATGCATGCCTTCACATCGCTTATGCGCAGAGTATTGACGGGAGATGGATCACTGCCGCTTGGACGGATAATAGGGGCAGCCAACAAATGACAGCATCGTACTGTCTTGGAAGGAAGGGCAAGAATCTGTCTAGACCAATTGCAGATGTAACGGCAGGGATTTGGGCGGCGACTCTTGATTTTATTTCCGCTTGGAAAGTACACTGGCGAGTTATTATCGCCAAATGTGGTGCGATGGAGCAGTCTGAGATAGAGCTCTGGTCTAACCTCGCTCAGGCAGAGTTGAAAGCATCGATTAGCCTAACGCTCGTTTCAGTGGATACAGATCCATCCATGCAACTGCTTCCTCCTGTTGTCAAGGTGTCTAGTAGCGCTCTATCAGTATTTTACTCAACACCAGTTTCCACACCACAAGGGTCTATGGTCTCGCCTGAGCAGAGCGGCAACCCGCCCACCCCTATCCGGGAAAACATGGGGACAAGTGCACCTACTCCGGGGGCTGACAACAACCCGGAGTCCGACGGTGACGCTACCTTAACGGAAATCACGGACCAAACGTGGGGTGCTGTTTTATCACATAGGCTGAACAACTCAAGTTCCCTGATGGAGCTCAATCCGGCCCTTGTCAGTGGGTACCTTGTAAAACGGGGTGGATCGCGGGTCGAAGACCCTCCGGTCGTTATGGAAGTCAGCATCGTCCATAACGAAGGCAACCCAAGAGCTTACGAGTCGCTATTGAGGGAGATGCTTACATATTACCGGGGCCTAGGAACATTAGCCAGGGCTCGTGGGATGATTGATAAAGAGAGCGATATTCGACCGTGGCATATCGCCGCTGCGGAGAAAGCTGTTAAAGCGCTGTATATGTTAATGTGATATGCTAGGGTTGCTTTTTTCCGAGGCACAGAGGGCATTGCATGGGGACCTTGCTGTCTTAGAAGGATAGGAGGTAGCAACTCGTTTTTAGCGATATAATAAGATACCAATACTTATTCCTAAAAATTATGCGGAGTTTCCTTTGTTTCATTCGTTAAGTTGTACTAATATAATGTCAGCGTCTTATTCAGGGTTACTTTGAGGGTGACGTGTTAAAAGAAGCATAGTAATATCCATTAGATATCCTATCTTGAAAACGAATTTTGCAATCTCGCTTTGAAGATGTAACACCACGACCTGGTCTCGGTAGTAGTTATTATCGGTCGAAAAAATAACCACCTTGGCCAATTTCAGTCCAATATGCACTATACAGGCGTTACAAAGCGGATAATAGGGGTTAGCAGCGGACTTTAGCGGACTATTCGTAGGTAGTTACAGGCTGGATCAATGCTTATATTTACAACACCAAGTCCTCCCACGTGAGCGGTATCTCATACCATTATCCGCATGCAAGAAGGTATTTGGCGCAATGAGTTGGAGCAGATATCTAGATAAGTAAAAAAAGGCAATGGGCCATCGGAGCCGAGCGGTTTTGGTTACATTGTTGATAGAAAATGCATAATCAAATTGAGCACCGGGGGCAATAACTGGCGATACGTTCGAATATTTAAGGGGCTGGAATCACTCTGTCCATCTCCTTAATGCTAGACTTTCTCTTAACACTCACAGGATAGTCATTAACATCTGTAACTCAAATTTTTGATCGGACCAACATGACTCAACTTGTATGGCTTATTACCGGTTGTTCCTCTGGCTTCGGGGAGCTAATGACGCATCATGTTCTGTCTCGTGGCGACATCGCTATCGCTACTGCACGAAAACTGAGCAAAATAACGCACCTCGGTCGGGCTGGCGCGGCTACTTTAGAGCTAGACGTTACTCACTCTCAGGAAGCCATAAATGACGCCGTAGCGCAAGCCATCGCCCTCTATGGGAGGATAGACGTGGTGGTGAATAACGCGGCATACGTTGCGACAGCGGCGTGGGAAGACATGGAGTAAGAAAAGTAACCAGAACATAAGACGAGACATTTTACTCACATAAAGACAGGTATGGTCAGCTTTTGGCACAGTTTGATACGAATGTCTTTGGCGTTGTCAAAGTGACCCGCGCGGTTTTACCTCACCTGAGGGAGAGGAAATCTGGCACGATGGTATTCATCATTTCCCTGTCGGGCTGGTATGGGCATCCCTTTAACGGCCCTTACTCTGGCTCTAAGTTTGCTTTAGAAGGTAATAACCCGGATCCTTTGTTTATAGGCACCTGATCATTTGATTAACTCTGTATAATTAGGGTTGGTCGAAAGTTTGAGCCGCGAGACAGAAGGATTCGGGATTAAGACTCTGTTGATCGAGCCGGGTAGGTTCCGCACGATGCTCCTATCGCCAGATCATATTCACACAACCCGATCCAAGATCCCCGCCTACAACAAGGCTTCAAATGCACACGTCGATGGACTAGCAGGGGAGGATAGAAAGCAACAAGGTGACACTAAGAAGGCTGTCAAGATCATCGTGGACCTTGTACGGAAGGAAGGGATCGCAGAGGGTAGGGAAGTGCCGTTCAGATTCCCACTCGGCACAGATTGCTATAGCGCCATGTGGGAGAAATGTGAAGAAACCATACGTTTACTTCGGGATTGGGATCAGGTTATCAACAGTACGGATCATGACGATTAATCTGACGAGAATTAGGCATTGCGATTACTAGTACCTACTATGAATTAGTAATTAAATACAACATCAATGTAGTATCAAGTTTCATAAGCCACCATCAATCTGATCTACAGACATGTTAGCAGACGTCTTTTAGATAGATTTATAATACTTACTAACGACATTTTTGTTCGTCCAAACCTCCCAATCCACACAAGTCCGTGACATAGCATGGCTAATGTTTGCGTCATCATAGAAGTCGTCCGGTCTTTCTAGTATCATCCAACCCATCCCACCAGATAGGTGCCACTTTGACAAGAATTAGTAAATTGTTTTCAGAACAAGAGGATTAGGTCATATCTCGAGATCAAGAACTCTCGAGTGAGATCAATATAGACTTTCTACTTAGGAGAGAAAAAAAGGGGCGGGCTGGAAGAGTGACTCTCGATATCACGTACAGCAATATGACCTAGGTGTAATTATCAGCATGACATCCGGGCTAATTATCAACGGTTGCGTTTGACTTACAGTGAAGTGGCCAGATGCCCGGATTGTCCTGTGTCCATTGGATCACGATGTAATGACCAGGCAACAGCATTTGAACGTCACGGCGCTGTGGGTTCCTTGGGTTCACGATGGAACCATTCCAACACGAGCCGTAGTTGCCGATGAAAGTCGCTTTCGACTTATCCGGCTTCCATTTCTCTACGTACTCTTCCGCTTGGGAGACGTTGATTCCGCGCTGCGGTAGCGAACTCGACCTCGTGCCGCCACCGAAATGATCGGAGGCTTCGCCCGGAGAAAAGACATGAGCGAATTCCGGTTGGCCATGCGGAAACACAGTCTCATTGTCACCGCAGCGCCCTTCTTGTAGCACAAAGAAGTTGTGACCGTGAATGTGGACAGGATGAGGTTGGAACCCCGTGTTCTCGATGATAAAGCGGAGCGATGAGTTACTTCCATAGTTGTGAACGTTCTGTATATGGGGGAACTCGAACTTGCCGTCCCTAGCACCAAGAAGCTGTGGATCATTGTAGTCAACTCGGAATGTGCGGTTCGCCATGAACCAGAGATTAGATGATCCATTTGGCCGTAGCTCTATGGGAAGTATCTCCGTAACGCTTGGTTCGTCCGGCGCTATTGGGTATACAGGCACAGTTCGCGACAAGGGGTCGTTTCCACAATAGTTGTTGTATGCATTCAGTCCAGGTTGGCTTCTTGGTTTCCGAGTCCGATCCGCGTTCTCATAGAATATTACTGCATTCGCTAAATATGATCCTTGCTTGCCCGGCGAACAGTTTGGAGGCTTGTATGCTCTGAGCCATATCGAGTCCGTCGGCCTACCTGTCGCGCGTACTAGGACGTCTGAACGTTGGCCTGGCGCGAGGGTCACCACATCAGTGTCGTATGGTTCAATTGGAACCAGGTCGTTGGTGATGATGGTCATGTTATATCCATCGATTGATACCTTTTGCACAGCGAATGCTGACGTATTTATCAAGCGCAGACGGTGCGTTTTGCCAGAGGTGAAGTTGAACGAAGCAAGCGGCGCACCGTTATTGTTGTAAGAGTTTTTTCCGTTTATCAAATTGTTATCAGATAGAGTGACCTCAACGTTATTTTCAAGGAATCCTCCAGTGATAACATCGTAATATTGATGGAAATGGTCTGAGATGGCGATTGGTCCTATGTCAATGTCGTAGTCGACGTGTGTTGGGCCGTGGATTACCATTGGCCCGGCGAACCCACTCACAGCTTGCGCTTCATAGTGTGAATGGTACCAACAAGTACCATAAAGATCTGGCTTGAATGAGTAGGTGTACGATGACCCGGGTGCGATCGGGCATTGAGAAATTCCTGGCACCCCGTCCATCCATGGCGTCTCTTGCTGCAACATACCATGCCAATGTATGGCGGTGCCCTCATCTGAGATATTGTTATGGACTGTAACTATAGTAGACAATCAGAACTATTCACTCGGAAACCTGAGGGAAATCGAATGAAGTGCTATATACTTACTTTCAACCCAATCTCCCCAGTCACATTCTATCAAAGGCCCCGGAAACTGAGAGTTCACTAAGAGCAATTCCGCCTCTACACCATCCGGAGCAGCTGTCCCCTTTGTAATCGTAAAATCATAGGTCCGCGTAACTCCTGTATCAGGTCGAGTTTTGTATGGATTGGTGTTGGTTGCATTCATGCCCTCCCAAGAACAGTCGGAAGATGCATGGTATGCCAGGCATCTGCTTTGGTATTGAGCGTGAGGCACCGCTAGGTTCGATGTCGCTGTCTTTATCAGTCTATTGCTGTCATTTGAAAATATAGTAAACTTACAGTCCTGCTCTGGAAGATCACGGCCAATAGTACTGTTGCTAACAGATTGCGCATTGAGTGCTTCTATAATCCATCTCCGTACTGAAGTCATTGTTTAAATGCGCATGAAGAAATAACATCTCTCAATACCCCTTTAATTCTGTGCTACCATACCTATGCACATGTAGGTAGAGAATCTCTAGATGAATCTCAACTGAGAAAATGGCCCGATAGGACAGGAAATCCTTTTGATAATCGTAGAGGTAAAATCAAAGCTAAATTGCCTTGAGCTCAAGATGATGATGCCCACATTGAAGCTAAGCTCATCGCACTTTTAACTATCGGAGATACATATAACAGGGACAGGCTACGTAAGTGAGAGTATACTGTTATATGGAAATGAATGTGCTTGTCATCGAGTTTCTTGTGGCAGGACTTTCCGTTGGGTTCAGCTTTTGCTATTCCAAAACCCCGTAACGATTGGAGGGTAGTATGGATGTGCCTCGGGGTGCAAATAATCAGTTTAGAGCGACCTTCTCTCCTATGAATCATATATATACGACAGAAACTTCTCAGGTAGGTAGTCAAACACGACTGTATGCTCTCTCTTATTGAGTTACGATACGGTTTAGAGGTGTCTGCTAAGTTGTATGCCCAGCCAGATCTTTTTGCTAGGTAAATACCTATCTAGGTAACTATCAAGGTATATCTTGATATATTGTACCTATTTAGAAGAGGGAAAGAAGAAAATGGAGTGTATTTTCCTGAGGTTTCTTTGTCCCGACATTGCCAGTGTTCTCAAGCTTCGGGATACCCTGGTAAAGCAAAAGTAAGTTTTGGAGAGGACAAATTTCTGCTGGAGTTTGGAAGTGATACTAGAAACAGGGGTGGTTCACCTTATTCACTCCAGCAAAGTTGAACGACACACATCCATGGATGTTTCAACTCTCTTGAATAATACTGAACCGTCAATTCATATCTGGCTTCAAGACACTAAAACACTAGGACACGAAGACCATATACATCTTTAAGACATTATAAGGTATCTTGTTTCAAATGGATATTGATTCGTGGTGTGACTAAGGAGACTGTTTAAATTAACAAAGAATTTTGAACCGCTGTTTAGTATAGGTACTAACCAAGTATTGAATAACCTAGTTAGCAGTCACATTTCATGCAATCGAAACAAAGAGATGGATCAGTTGGACAACTCAAGAAAATGCTTAGGTAAGAAGATATGGTGTTTATAAACACTGCTCTAAGAAACTAAGAGATTATTCACCATAATCGTTTTCCTCTTCTTTTATTATGCCTATACAGTATCATTTGTTCTTCAAAACAATAGTGGTCATATTTTTTTATATATAAGGAAGCCATAAAAGCTATTTGCAATTTCAGTCTATCACTCTATCAATCTATCAATTACTCAATTCGCATTCAACTTATCATTCGGTACGTTAACAATAACCCATAAAATATCCTGACAATAATTAATATCGAATATGTCTACCTCAGCCCAGCAGACGCGTGTGCCTGTAGATCAGGTCAACCTAGACTTACTTATCCTTCAGTTGCAGAATAAAAGAACTAAAAGCGTGCAGGTTCTCAACCAATTCATGAGAACAGATAGGCTTGCCCACGTACGTCGGGTCTCTAGCGATTTTGATTATCAGGCTTTTCGACTGTTTTTAGCGGGGATATTTGGGATTTCTCAAAACAAGAGGCTACTCTTCCCCCCTCTAACACGTGGTGGTGACCATGTGCTAATTAATACGGAAGACCATTTTTGGGTTTTCCTAACTCACATCCAATCTGGTGGCTACAACCATCTTATAGATGCTAATGAGTCTGTCTCGCCGACTATTATAATTCCCCTACCAGAATCGGATCTTTGGACCCCAATAAGAACAGAGTTGGACTCGCCCAAAACGGATGGAGTGAACTCAGACGATAACCGAGAAAGCCCAAAGCAGCCGGAGCAGCCGAAGCAACCGGAGCAGCCGCAGCAGCCGCAGCAGCCGCAGCAACCGGAGCAACCGGAGCAACCGAAACAACCGGAGCAACCGAAACAACCGGAACAACCGGTAGAGCCGGTAGAGCCGGTAGAGCCGGTAGAGCCAGAAGAGCCGGTAGAGCCAGAAGAGCCGGCGGAGCCGGAAGAACCGGCAGGCCCGGCAGAGCCGGAAGGACCAAATGAAGATGACGACGATATCTTCAATCCCGAGATGGTACCACCACCGGCTGATAAAGTAAGTAAAATGACGGATGGAATGGAAATCAATCTTGATCAACCCGTAAACCCTAGCTGGGAAAACGTAGCCAAGTTCTTTACAATTGACGTGGACGCTATAGATGCCGAGATACCGGGCCTTAAGCGAAGGCCGAGAGATGACCAACTCTACGCGATATATTTCTTATTGACACGGCCCCTTCGCAGAATTAACGCGGGTATTCTTTCGGACGATGTCGGTGTAGGAAAGACGACAGTAGCAATACTGACGATCTATATTCACCATCGTATCCACCATATGTGGAGAGAGATACAGACAGAATGGTCGCGCGAGCCACCAGACAGCGAGAGAAAACATCTCAAGTACAAGGGTCAGGCGTCTAATGCCGTTTGCCCAAGCCAGCATATATCCAATTTGGGGTTTGAATGCCCATGTTTTAGAAAGGGAGTTGCTTACAAAATTGCGAGAACATTACGGCCAAACCCCTCACTTATTTTCTGTCCCCCTTCTTTGATACCGGTGTGGGAAACTGAGGTAAAACGATGTTTTGACTTCTCACCTGATAGCCCGGCTCATGAGATGAACTTTATGGTCTATAGGAATAATGACGAGGTCGTCCAAGCCACACAAGCAACAGTTGTATATGATGAGACATTTCCAAGGAAATATCACAACGCCAATACAACAGGACCTCTAAAGTCCCGGCTTGCTGTTATTGTTTCTAGAGCTTCAGCGCACACATTCGCAGCAAAGTATGTGGAGCCTAGCAAAACCGTACAAAGGCATAAGTTAAATAATGTTTCTCGACTTGCTGCCACTTTCGTTTTTATGGATGAAGTTCATGATTATCATGGAAGCCGTACAAGGGAAACAAACACCTTTAGAGTTCTCCAGAGGATAACGGAAGATAGACATGATCCTACTATTGCGATAGGTCTCAGCGCTTCCATGTTAAGCGGTGGGCCGAAGTGTTGGAGGGGATTCATCAATCATATGTTCGATTCAGCGTCCAAAGAGATCACATTTCCGGGTCTTGAAAATAAAGATGCCTTACGAAAGCAAACGACAGATTGGGATTTTCTGACAAATAATAAAGTCGACCCCGAGAATGAGAAGACCACTGAAAGATATCGACATCTCAGGGAATTTCTACGCGCCTTTCTACCTGAAATAATGCTCCGCCGAACTAGCCACACGAAGTTCAGAGGAAAATTTATCACAACCCCTTCTCGTGATATCATTACAAGGGTGGCAGACATGCCCGACGGGCCTGCGAGAGAGGCACAACGGGCTTTGAGCAACTTGGTTCGTTCTTGGCTCGATCAAAATTTCGAGCAAAGGGTGCGAGAATGGAACGAAAATGGTCGAATAGGCGACCAGCCCGATCGCAAATCTGTTCAAAAAGAGGTGCTTGAATCTATCGAACAGAGTATGGCTACTTCTAAGGATAAATCATACGAGATTATTCTTCGCTCGTCGTGCTTTCCGGCCCTTGCACACCTCGTGAAAGAAAAGGCAGTCAGATATGAAGATATCTTGGGACCAGCCATAAAAGAGATCTCCAAGGAGATAACGGCAGCTTTCAACCAAGGGATCAACGAGGACGGGTCTGGTCGGCCAGCAAATGCTCTAGTAGTTACGCACGCGCTAAACAATGTTTTTGCGAAGTCTCCGTTTAACGTCCACCGGAATATACTATCCCAGAACTCACCGAAGCTGAAGATTGTTTGCGATTACATCGACCATATCATTGAGTTGAAGAACAAAGCCTGGACCGAAGACTCGGGTTTCCCCGATCCAGGGCAGGAGCCCGATGACAAGAGCGCTGTAAGACACTGTCTACTGTTCTGCCAGACGCAAGTATCAGCTTTCTTGCTTTTCATGTTCCTGCATCGCAAGTATGGCAATAGGATAGAGTGGATTTACGTGCATTCAGATATACCACCGTCTGAACGACAGGGCCTAGTCGACCGGATAACTCAGCCGTGCACCCGTGATGATAAGAATAGGGTCATGATATCGACCTTTAAATTGATGGGGACCGGGTACAATATACAGAGAGCAAATTACTGTATAATCACTGAGATGCCCACAAGTCTTGATGTGCAGAATCAGGTCAAGGGACGCATCGACCGCACTGGCCAAACGCAGATACCCATCAGCGTTCAATTATACGACTCGCGAAACCTGGCTGAAGCCGTGAGGTACAATAGGAGTGTCAATCGAGCACGGTTGACAGAGCCTACTGAAATTGACCTCGCAAACTTCATGACGGATGAAGGAGCCGACTAGTCTAATTACGATCTGCTTAGAGGCTTGTGAGTACCTAGCTAAGCGACTACAAAAAAGGGCAAAAAAGCAAGAGTGTCCTATTATCCAGTATGTCATTCATCTTAGAGGTATTAGAAAAGGTTCCATGGTTCTGGTTCATATATGGTAACATCTACGAACGGCGGTCATTTATCTCGTCTTTCCTTATCTTTCTATTTTCCATTGGTATAGTTGATAGATATATCCAGTTTCCTTAGTTTATTTAGTTCTATACAGAGACAGAGCCTCTGTAAAGGGGTTTGCTACTTAATATACTGCTTTTCCTCATACCCGGATAAACGCATATGCTAGTGCCCCTTTGTTGCTTCGAGGATATTTAAAATTAGCCGATGAATTCACATCCTTCCATCAGAAGTTTAGAGCCTGTTCGCCGTAACACAAACACCAATGGCTTAACAGCATCAGTGGTTTAGTGGTAAAATCCATCGTTGCCATCGATGGGCCCCGCGTTCGATTCGCGGCTGATGCATTCATTTTTCTATGCATACACAACTACCTGGGATATGTGCGTAATGTTATTGGGTTTTTTTTTAAGTTGTACTCCTTATACGTGTTAAAAATTTGGCGGGTTTTTAACACTTGTCTTTCTCCTTGTAAATTCTTAAAGGGATAGGAAACAAGGAAAACTTCGAAATATCTTGAAATTTTTAACATTGTTATTACCTAGATACGCATGAAATAAGTTAAAATAAGCTTCAAGTTTTCTACACACATATGCCGAAGCTCAAAAAATCAAGCCGCCATCCACTCCGGTCCCAAAGAGGAGAACTATGTATTCCGTCATCATACAGCTACAGCCTTATTTCCCCAATTTACCTTCCTTAGTGCTTCCATAGGTTAGTACCAAGTATCTAGTTGCGGTATCCCAATCAACCCGCTCAATGGCCATTAACCCCATTCGCGCCATTCGTCGCGCAGCAACTACTTCCGCTTCCGCTCGCGCCATTCGCGTTCGAGAACGCGAGCCTGCTCAGCTTATCCGAAGCGTCGGTGACGCCGGCGCCGGCGGCCGCGACCTGGCTCGGGGTGGAGGCGTAGGAGGGCGGGACGTCCATGACGGGGTTGCTGGCGAAGAAGTTGCGGGGCCTGAGGAGCAGGGTGATGGGCTCGGCGGGCATGACGGGGAAGTCCTCGGGCGCCGGGATGTGCGTCACGCCGAACGTGTGCCACAGCACCACGTTCGTGTTGTCGATCGACTCCGTCCCATCCCCGATCCACTCCGGCAAGCCGAGCGACGGCTCACCCGAGGTTTGGGGTACGTGCCGGCCTGCGGGCCAGAGCTGGTCGTCCCGGTCTGTTGTGGTGCTGGTTAGATGGCGGGTCTGGGATAATGGATGATAAGGTGGAGGGGGGAGGGGTGGGGAGGAAAAGGGGCTTTCTTACATTTCGTGACGTGCACCGCGTGTCGGGCGAAACCGGCTCTCTTCCAGACTAGCGAGCCCTCCTTCGGCAGTAGCGGGGGAACTTCTCGGCTGACGAGCTTGTAGCTCACAGGCTTCTTGCTGTAGGGGTGTAGCTTGTTCGTGTTGCAGATATCCCACGTGCGGCTCGTGGCGCCGTTATAATCCGTCTTCGACTTTCCGGTCGTGTCCAGCTTCGTTCGCTTGGCGTAGAATGCGTTACCGTAGAAGTTCTCGGGGCTGCCGACGGGCGCGTCTGATGGGACCGCGTCGGCCATGAAGACGGTGTTGTTGGGCCCGTCTACGTTGGCGTCTATTCGTAGGCAGAACAGATGTTGGTGGTTGTGCGCGTTGACACCTGGGTATACTTGGGTTCCCCAGCCCTTCGTGTCCTCCTCGGGGTCCATGGCGTATGTGTTGAGAATACCCGTGAGCCTGATATCCGGCTGGATGGTACCATCTTGGTGGAAGACCCACTACTTTTAGTTAGCATTTAATCAGCACTCGTATTGTAAAAGAGGTCTTACTTGGATGGCATATTCGTAGTTAGCAGCAGTGAAGATCTGTTGAATGATGAGTTTCCTCGCCCGTGTGACGATGACCGACTCGTCTCGGAAATCGCTGTGCTTGAATAATATGCCGTCATCTTCCTCATGAATGCATATCGCATTCTTGATAGTGCGGATTTCACCGGATCTTGTAGGGAAATCCGCGTCTAAGTAGTGAATAGAACCCTTGCAGTCGCAGCCCAAGGAGAGACTGTTAGTCATGTAACCAGCACCGTACTCTCCTAAATCAAAGGCGTGTTTCCTCTGGTGAGGGTGCTCAGGGTTTCCGCTACGAAAATTAGCTGACACATTTCAAACAAAGGGGATCAGGATGCTTACTATGGCACCACCATCTCCGCCAGGGAGAGTCGGTAGAAAATAGGACGAACAGTCCCTTTATCGTTGAAGGTGATGTCGTTGAGAACAATGCCCTCTCGGTAGTTGAAGCCAATGTGGAAGTTCCAGTTCTGCCACGATATTTCTCGGCCGTTCATTGTGAATGATACGCCTTCAGGCTGCGTTATGTTGATAGGTTTCAGGTCTTTGCGGTATCCTCCTAGCTTTTCAATGGCGGCGGGATGATAATTGATTGGAGGAGCTCTGCTCACTGGCCTTCGGATCTTGGGGATGTCGATAGCAACAACCTCCTGCTTGTCTGCGTCGTAAATCGGGCAGAAGTCTAGGGGGTATTGATATTGGCAGTCATCAACATCAGGTCGATAGTACATCAAAGCTTGCTGGAGTCGAATCTTGTTGCCGTGCCTCTCATCGTAACCAATCGTCCAAGGGTCACAGTAGACCTTGTGCATCTCTTCCTTAGGAATACCACTGATTACACACTGTTCGATGACTTTGGGGTCCTTCCGAACTGTGAATTCAACATTCTTCAACTCTTCCATGGTAATCTGGATACAGTTGTTAGTGAAGCCCTTAGACTCAACTCGTTGATACTCACAATAGGTTGTAATCCATCTAGTAGCTCCCATTTTGTTATCGTGCCAGTCGAAAGATCTACTAGTCCGTCGTAAACCTTTCCGCCTGGTGCGATAACGACGATATCTGCGATTCTCAGGGGTCGAGGGGTGTTGGCTGGATCCTCCATCCATTTTGTCATCTCCGCCTTACGCGGCTCGTGAAGTGAGACGACATTGAAGAAAACATCTCCATGAGCCTTCTTGACAATGCCAATGGCTGCTTGAATCTCATCAACAGATAAGGGGTCAAAGGGGTGCGGGACGGAGCCTGAAGTTGCGGAAACCATCTTGACGGACGCTTGATGGGGGTATGAGGAGAGATATTCCGATACTGTCGAGTTCGTCTCGTGATGACGGCGCGACCTTAAATATATACTCCTCCAACCACATCCTGGCGTCAACGGTTCTGACCCCTAACTCTGGTAGCCCTAGATGCGAATGACGCGGTGACACGCGGAGAGCCATGTATCTAGCACCAATTAGCAATAGAATTATCCTAACAGCATATGATAAGAGCTCCACCTGACGTCTAGTCATGCTGTAGGGAGAACCCGGTATCGAAGCCTAGGCTCAGCACTGCAGACGTTAGCCCCTCTCATGTCCGATAAGTCAACTGGGTAGAGCTGTGATAGGAAGATCTCGGTGTGCCCCTCTTCGTGTGCGGGAGAGCCAAGTGGAAGCCAATTGCGGGGAATTAGCCGCATGTAGTTCCCGAAACCGGTATGGGCTTAAAATCGACGGTCGACGATAGGCTGGTTTAGTAAGAACTTGTTGGATAAGGCCTTGAACGCGATAAGTGAAGCCGTTTCAAGTCTTGTTATAGTCCGATACCGGGTTTTTGCAATGTTGGAGTCTGGTATTCAATGTCATATATCTTCAAATTGTGCCTGGATTCTGGCGATCCTAGTAGCCCACGATAGTTTATCTTTTACTCATTCCGAATGCCATGACGAAGATCCCGATTTCCGAATGCCCATACCCAATCATGACAAGGGAAAGTTATATACATAAACGCCATAAAACAAATCCTTCGCTTATAGACGATCGGACTAAACTGACCCTTGTGCCACTAGCAAAGCCTAGACAGTGAAGCTTGCTGCTTTAAATCTATGCCGCCTATCAACTATCTCTATCCAATACAAATCGATCCCGAATGGTCACGATGCTGCTAATATCTTGTCGCAATGTATGAATTGTAAAACTGTTTCCGTATAGAGAAAATAGACTATGTTACGGCTATGTGGCTTAGGCTCATGCAAGACTCTCATTATATTCTCTCTTTCTGGCCTAGCCTCATCCTTGAGCCTTAGCCGTGTCGCATAAAAATGATAACTGACTAAAGCCGCAACCAATCATTGACCCAATCACATTGATTGATCTCATTGCTTGATCCCTGAACTTGCTATATATTGCGAGTATAAACTGAGTACCGAGATCCAACGCTTGATGTGAATGAGATTTGATCGTTGATTCCCTAGTACAACGCCTTCACATCTAGTGGTTCGACAAAGAATCGTTCGATTGACGATATGGATAGGAACTATTATTATTAAACTTCACTATCACTCAATTTGTCTCAACGATGGTTCGATGGGGCTGAGTTGGTAGGTAGTCTTTGAACTACGACGCATGAAGTTGCTATATCCGGTAACTCATATGCTCAACAGGACAGTTGTTTTTTGGGGTGGGTTCGTATTTCAATTCAGAAATTCATTGATAAGAAACAAGAGGGATCAAGTTACGCGAAAGACGGAAGTGTGAGGTGTTTAACTCTGAAGACTCAACCAAGTATGTGCAAGGACTTCGAAATTGAAAATACCAAAAGTCTCTAGAGTTAACATAGAAAAGACGGGTCAAATTATTATATATGTAATTTATACATGCATATCGAGGCAACTAATAGCGAATGCATGACGTGATGGGGTATAAGTGGCTATTTATGGCGATGGAGATGACTAATGACTAACGAGATGACAAATGCCAAATGCCGAATTCTCGTAAGATTCTCCGCGCAAAAAATTCAACTCAACCGATATATTCTAGAAGAGAGAAAAGCGGTGCTCTGATGCTAATATCTTCCAACAATTCTAGTTAAGTCCGTAAAGCAGCCTAGTAATCGGTATCATCATCAGATCTTTAGCATCTGCAATGGTGGAGAAGCCAGATCCGAAGGATTCAAGATCGGGACGAGCGGAAGCCCCGGATTTTATCACGGTAAGCTTGTGATCCACAAAATACCCGTGCCGTACTCGAGCTCCAACGGCGTTATGTTTGCTTTGGTATGTCCCAATTTTAATAACACCCATGCCGTAGGCTCGCCGCGAAAGGGGCAAACTTGCCCAAAGAGCGTTCAGACAAAGGCAAATTGACACTATCCGAAACCTAGAGGAAGAGAATCAGAGATTACGCAAGGCAATTTCTGATATAAGCGACGCCGCACGCCAAAGCGACGTGGCACTGTCGCTAGCTATCTCAAATGCTTGCAAAGTAGCAGGTCTTCCAGCCTCCGAGACGGAGGATCCGCCAACGTTGACCAGTTCGGAGGACTCCGGATGGTCTTCTAATGATGACACAGCCAACATAGCTCCTGTGTCGTTAGCTCCTGTTTCACTTGATGATGATAACATCTTAAACTATCTAATCCCATCCTATGATGACAAGGAGGTAGTTGACGACTGGTCACAATTCTTCCCTACCGGGGACTCGGGGGCATATGTCTCACCCACCAACTTAGAGATGTTTGATAGCGGCATAGACATGGCTACTTCGTCAACTCTACCAAGTCTTGGACCGCCATTGAATGCCACGGACATCTCGACATTTACTTTCGAGCCGGACAGAGCTATCCATCTTACGAACCCGCCACCGGACATCATGCCCTACATGGGCGAGGGAGCCTACACTTTAGCAGGCCAGATGTACTGGGCTGCTATGGCGTTCGGTTTCCAGGCAATCAAGGCCATCATCTCAACATCAACGCCACCGCCAGCGGCTATCGACACCGTTTCGGATATTTTCACACATACGCTTAAACATGTAGCTCTCCCAAAGGTATCCATATCTATCCCATTGTTTCTTTATTACTCCTCGCTAAAACATACCTACCTAGATAATGTACTTGATGCACGCGCGGCTCGCCTTCCGCCGATACGGCTACTTCCACCTCGCCAGCGATGAGAACTGGGAGGCGATCAAGGTAACGTCAACCCGCAACTTACCTCCATCAGCACCTAAACTCCCACCCCCTTCCCCCTTTCCCCCCTTTGCCCTATCAACCCATTCTGACACCCCCACTCCTCGCAGGCCTTCCTCGACCCATCCGGTCCCTCGAAGATGCACGCGGCGCTCGCCGAATCGCTGCAGCGGGCCGGGGTGCGCAAGGACGACTACCTGGACCCGCTGGACGTGGAGCGGCGGCTGCGCTCCCGCTTCCGCGACGCGTACCCCGTTTTCGAGGCGGCGCTGCGGGGGCGCGCGCTCGCGGCCGAGCACGTGGCCTGCATGCGCCGGCTCATGCGCGCCGTGTCGCGGCAGTCGCTGTGCTTCGGCGACGGGCCGCGCTGGAGGCCCGAGAGCGTGGATGCGCTGGCTAGTGCTTGGGAGAGGGGTACGGGTATGGGGCTGGTTGGTGTGTTTTAGGTGTTGGTGAATGATCCTGGATGCTTATGGGGATAGAAGAGGATGAGGTTTTGGGGTGGATAGGCTTGGGGGGGGGGGGGGGGGGGGGTTGGCTCGTCCTGTGGTGGGAAAATAGGCGTGTTTGGCTTATAAATACCAATTTAAAAATAACCAACATGCAAAAAACCCTGAACCAAACATCC